CGGGCGGGCGCCGACCCAGGCCCAGGGGAGCGGCGCTCCCGCACTGTCCGCTTCGAGCGCGCCGCCGAGTTTCTGGCAGCCTGTGCGGGCGGCGACCTGGACGAGGCGCGCCTGATGCTGCGGGCTGCAGACCACAGCCCCGGCGCCGAGTCCGACCCCGCCGCCCCGCCGCCCGCCCGCGCAGTGCTCGACTCCACCAACGCCGACGGCATCAGCGCCCTGCACCAGGTCAGCGCCCCGACGCCCGGGCCGTCTCCGTCGCGCTGCGCCCTCCCATACCTGATCCACTCTCGGTCTGCGCCACCTTGAGCATCCTTTCTTCCCAATCCTGAGCCCCGTTGATACTCCTGATCTGCATCATCGTTATTTGTCCTGGTCTTTGCCATCCAGCGCTGTCCTCCCTCTGGACCTGAGCCATCTCTGACGGCTCAGTCTAGTCTATTTCTCTGGTCGTGGTCGTTGCCACTTCGCGCCGCCCTCTTCTGGGCCCTGAGCATCCTCTATTCGGCTCGTTTGTGCCATCTCTACTGTGCTATTTAATGCTACCGTCTCTTTTCTGCGTCCGTACCACTTATTTTTTCCACCTCTGCTTACTTCCGTGCCTCCTCTAGGCAGGTACTACTGTCACTGAGTTGCATCCTCCGCTTATCGGCCTGTGCTTCCTTCCTCCCCCAGTCTCTGGCCTGGGCCACCTCTGGCGAGGCCTAGATTCTTCAGTGCCGCTTCTTTCAGGTTCCGTCTTCTCTGCGTTCATTCTCCTCCTTCGTCTTTGCTGTCTGTTGTTCCCTAAGGATGCTCTTTCCTGGGCCGTTTCCTTCTAGGCTCTGCACTACCTTGCTTCTTTGAAGCAGATGCTTTCCCTGTCTGGGTCACCTCACGCTATTTCTCCTCCCTACCCCCAACCCGCATGCCCGCTTAACTCAGTTGGTTCCCTCTTCATTCTCTTTTTGGGGCCTGCGCTACCTCTTGCCTCCCACCATGAGCCTTCTCTTAGGGATGTTTCTGCTTCTCTTCCCTTATCTCCCCTTCTCATGGCTAGGCCTGCATCATCACCCTTTTTCTGGGCATCCTCAAAGCACTGCCTCTTCCTGGCTCTGGGCCACCTTTCTATCCTCTTGGTCATCTTGCTAGCACTGCCCAAACACCCTCTCCTTCTGTGGATTTGGGCGACCTCTCACTCCTTTTATTTGGGCAGGCAGCTTCCTCTTCCCATAGACTGTGCATTCTCTTTTAGCCCCCTGTCATGTCACCTTCCTAAGAGTTCTAGAACCCTGTTAATCCTCTCCCTTCACAACCTGGGTCGCCATGTCCCCTCTGAGACACTCTGATTGCTGCCTCCAGTGATCCTGTGTCTCAGAGCCAGGGCCACCTTAGGTTCCCAGGGTTCTCTTTGGTTCTGGGTGCTTTTATCTCTATCCCCCCCACCGTTGGGGCCACCAGGGACAGGATTGGCCACAGAAGAGCCCATCCTCAGGCCTTTGCCCTCCTGGTCTCCTGATGTGAGCCCAACGTCAGCCTCCTGTCAAACAGATTTCTTCTCTGGTGTCAATCCCCCATTTCTTCGTGCCCTCTCTCTCTCCTTGCCAAAATCCCTAGGGTTTGGTTACTGGTGGAGCCAGAGAGGGCCCTGGTAACGAATGAGTGGCAGGGGGTGGAAAGGAAGGGGAGGATGCTTGTCCAGGCCCACTTTTCAGATTCCCAAGAAGATTAGCAGTTTGAGAAAAACAAAATCAGAATTAGTCTGTCCTGAGTTCTCATCTCAGCTTCTCAACTTTGTAACCTTGACTTAGTGTCTTTCCTCTGTGCCTCAGTTTTCTTAACTGAGACATGGGGCCAGTAGTCAGTTCCCCGCTGGCAGGGCTCTGGTGAGAGAGGGAGGTCGTATGTGTGGAAAATTCCCTTTGGGAGGCCTGAAGCATTATAGATGTTCACTGGGAGGTGCTGCCCCCAGTCTAAATGCTGCTGCCACTACCCCCTTTCCTTTCCCCACCCCAGGCCCCTTCCCTGGGGAAGCCCCAGTGCTATCTGGGACATTTCCTCCACCCACAGTGGGGACCTGCTTTCCTGAGGCCCTTTTCTGGGTTTCGTAGTCCTTGGCGAGTGAGCCCAGGAGAGGGGCTCAGGCTACCTCCTTCCTCCTCTGTCATCCTGTGCCCCTGGCCCTGCCCCTGGCCCTCCTGTACCTTTCCTACAGGAGTTCCTGGCCCTGCTCTTCAGACTGAGTCCCCTTCCCCTCCATCCTCCAGAGGCCCCCAGACAACCTCCTTGACCTGGACCTTGAAATAGGCCCTTCTGGCCTGGCCTCTCAGGCTGCCTTTCTGGTGGGATTCACCTCCCACCATGGGGTGAGCACTTGGTAAACTCACTCTCCAGGGTTTTGCAGGAGGCCTGAGGGATTGGGGTGGTCCGAGGTTCAGAGAAGGGAAGGTCCCATCCCGGGTCACGTGACTCAAACAGGGGAGCTCGGATTTGGATCAGGTCTGGGTGTGGAGTGACCAACTTGTGTTGTTTGCCTGGGACTGGACTACTTTTAGCACTGAAAGTCCCAGGTCCCAGGAAAACCCTCTGTTACAGGAAAACATGGATGGTTGATCACCCTATCTGGGAGACTCCTGAGTCTCAGCTGCTTTCTCTACCTCGGGTTGCATTTTCTGTTCTGAATCATTCCTGGGCCAGGTCCCCAAGAATCAGCCCCTGCTAAGGCTATGGTTTCTGTGAGTTCTCAAGCCTCAGTGCCTACTTCTGGTAGGTTTATCAACCATTTGGTGAGGCTGGTTCACTCCCCCTCATCTCCCAAATTGCCATGTGCTTTAGTGGCTAGGAGTCTAGGGTCTGGAGTAGGAGGGGCTGGGAGCCAGTGTTCTTAGGTCTGAAAAGGGAGGGGCCTGGATTCCTGGGTCCCTGGTGCCCAGGCCTCAGGCATTTTTCACATGGATGCCCGTGCTGGGCCAGGTCCTTGAAAGGGAAAGGCCCATCTGCCTCCTTGCCCCCCCCATCGCCATGACAACTGGGTGGAAATAAACAGAGCCCAGAGTTCATCCCGTTCCCAGGGCACGTGTGGCCCCCCTTTTGCAGCCTGAGTTTCCATGACTTCATGCTCTTGGCCCTTGTAGCTTCCTCCCCCCTTCTCCAGATGGGCAGCTTTGGAGAGGTGAGGGAGTTGGAGGGTTAACTTATCCTTAGTATCCAGGAGTTCAGGCCCTTCCACCTCTTTCAGACCCAGTTGAGGTCCCAGTACCTACCCAGTGCCCACTCGGGCCCTGGGTTAAATGCTTGCTATGCTGACTTGGGTGAGGGCTTTCATCTCTCTGAGCTTTGATTCCTAACAGAGGGAAGATTAGAAGGGATGGTTCAAGTAAACCCCTTGGCACAGTGCCCTGTGCATAGTAGGCACTCAGTGAACAGGAGCTATGTCTCCTTGGAACCCTGGGTACAGAAAAAAACAACCATTTCTCCCACTTTGGGAATCCTACCTGGGACACTTACTCTGTCCCAGGGATAGGGTGACTTTACCATCCCTACACAGACCTGGCCAAGGGGTCAGTTCCTGGAGAGCATCTGCTGGGGGTGTGTCCTCCAGTCTTGCCCCTTTGAAGGACCTGGCTGGATCTGAGGGAGCAGGGCCTGGGGGTCAGGACTCCTGGTCTCAGGGAGGAGGGGCTGTGACCTCTCCCCTTAGTCTGAACACTGGAAGCCCTGCCCTGTAGTGATGAGTGTGGCGTATGATACATCTAACAAGCACCATTCAGTATTCTCACAGCTGGATGAGAAGCCGCTATCCTTTCCCTATTTAACTCCTGTTCGCAGACAGCTGGGATTCTTCTCATAGTCTCAACTGAGCTCCTGACACCTGGCTGACCTGACCATCGGGCAGCCAGTGGTGTCTTTTTTTTCTCTCTACTTCCTCCTTCTCCTCCAGGGGTGTCTTAAACAGCTGGGTGGCTGAATAGTCCTTCAGGGCTTATGCCAGAGGCTGTCAGGGTCTGTTTTCTTGACTCTCATTCCCACTGGGCCCATGGATCTGTTTGACAGTCCCCTTTAGGACTCTGCCTTGCTCGGCAGGTCTGGACAAGGTATAGACTGATGACACTGTCCCCTGCCTCCCAGGCCTGCATCGATGAGAACCTGGAGGTGGTGCGCTTCCTGGTGGAGCAGGGTGCCACCGTGAACCAGGCAGACAATGAGGGCTGGACGCCCCTGCATGTGGCCGCCTCCTGTGGTTACCTGGACATTGCCAGGTAAGGTGGGAGAGGGGTGGGCCACACCCAGATGGGATGGGAGGGGCACTGGACCCATCAGTCCTGACCTTCCCCTGCCCTCAGGTACCTCCTGAGCCATGGGGCCAACATTGCCGCTGTCAACAGTGATGGGGACCTACCCCTGGACCTGGCCGAGTCGGACGCCATGGAGGGGCTGCTGAAAGCGGAAATCGCCCACCGAGGTGGGCCTCTGGTGTGCCACATGCAGGGTGGGGGGCGCTGTACATCGTCTGCAGCCTTAAGATCCAGAGGTTTGGAGTCAGTACCTACCAACCACCACAAATCAAAAAAACAGCTTTGGAATCAGGCTGTCTGGGCTCAAAGGCTGACCGTGTTTCCTATGATTCTTTGGCTCTCTCTATGCCTCAGTTTCCTTACCTGTGAAATGGGGGTATAGGTACCTACTTCCAGGGTTGCTTGGCGGTTGGCTAAATGAGTAATTGTATAAAGCTCTTGTGCCTCCTCTGGGCACAGAATAAGAGCTCAAACTGCTGTTGACTGGAGTTGTTATTTTATTGCCTGGGTAACTGAGTAAATCAAAGGGCAGAGAGAGGGAGAGACTTGTCCAGGAGTCCCTTAGGCAGGATTGCTGGGACCCCCATTGCAGGTCTTCTTGGGAGGTGGCATGTTTACTGAGGGGGGGAGTACAGGCATACAGGGGGCTTCCGGGGTCTCTGTCTCCCCTGTGCTCTGAGGACCACTACACCCCATGGATTCTGCATATGGGTTCCAAGAACCCCCTGATGCTCTGTGCCTGGCCATTTTCATTTTTCTAGGGAGGGGAAGTGTTGGTTCAAACAGGTCCTCAGATGGGCCTGAGACCACCTTCTACCTCTCTCCCAAAATAAATGTCCAGGGCCAGTTGGCATGTATTCTGGGTGGCTCTCAGCTCTCCACTGAAGGGCCTAGAAGCAAAGGATGTGGGGAGCAGATTAGTGGGGGATACCAAGCAGCTTTACTGGATCTTGGGGAGTGTGTGATGCCTGTGGGACACCCTGGAGGAGCCCTCAAACCTGACTTCATGTCTCAGCTTTGTCGATGACTGGCTGTACAACTCCAGGCACATTCCTGAAGCTCATTTTCCTTATTTGATAAAACAGAGGTGACCAGTATCTGCCTCATGGGGTGGTTGTCAGGGCTCAGCATGGTTATTGATGAAAAGGTGTGAGCATAGTGCCTTTAGACTAGGACTGTTTAGGAGGGAAGGTGAGATTCTGATGAAGAAACAGATACTGGGAGGCTCCCAGATTTCCGGCCTGGCTATCCTTGCAATGTCACCAGCCAGGATGGAAAAGGATAAGGGTTCTTTGTGGGGCACATTGAGTTTTAGGTGGCTGTGGGAGCCATGTGGGGATACAGTGTAGTTAATGGGACATGTGGAGGTGGAAATCTGAGGTTTGGGTGCTCTCATTTGGATAAAATGGGAGAGTGAGTGTATTAGTCCGTTTTGTGTTGCTTATAACAAAATACTTGGAACTGGGTGATTTATAAAGAAAATGAAATTTATTGCTTACAGTTTCTGAGGCTGAGAAGTCCAAAGTCCATCTGTTGGTGGCAACAGTGACCCAGTGGTCTCCCATTGCAAGATGGTGGAAGCAGAGAGGGCAGAGAGAGACAGACTCTCCTCTTCTTTTAAATCCCTCAGGACCACACCCCTAACCACCATTTTTTTTTTTCCTTTTTGTCTTTTTTCGTGTCCGGCAACGGATCGCAACCCTCAGTGTCGCGCCCGTACCGGACCGGGACCGGCAACGGGATCGCAACCCTCGGTGCTGCGCCCGCACCTCGCTCAGCCAGTGAGCGGGAACCGGTCTGTATGTGGGATCCAAACCCTCGGCGGGAGCGCCACCGCGCTCCCAAGCAGCGCACTGTAGCAGTGCACCACCGGGCCGGCCCCTAACCACCATTTTTAATCCATTCACTACTGCAGGGTCCTACAACCCAATCACCTCTTCAAGGCTCCACCTTTCAATTACCATATTAGGATTTTCCACCCTCTTAACAGTCACAGTGGGGGCCAAGTTTCTAATACATAAAACTTGGGAGACACTTTAAGCTTTGTTGAGTTTTGGGGGACATAATTCAATCCACTACAGTGAGTAAAATCAACCCTCGAGCTGGGTGTTCTCCATTCTCCCCTGATTTTATTTTGGGAAGGCTTCAAACTTATAGAAAAGTTGCAACATGTAACCTTCACTGAGATTCCTCAGTGTTTTTTCTTTTCCTTTTTTTTAAAAGAAATTTTAAAGTATTTTATTATATTTTTTATTGATTATATGTATTTGTGGCATACAGAATCAAATATCAATACCTGTGTATAATATGGGGTGATCAGGATAATTAGTATACTCGTGTACAAAACATAATCTTTGTAACTCTTAACTAGTTTTTTCTCCAACCCCTCTCCCCCTCCCCCTTTCCCACCTCTAACACCAGTGCTTTTTCTTAAACAGCTTTTTGAGATATTTTTCACATACCCTGCAATTTTCCTGTTCAAAGCACACAATTCAGTTGTTTTTAGTATCTTCACAGAGTTGTGCATCTATCACTGTATTGATTTTTAGAACATTTTCATCATTCCCCCAAAGAAAGCCTGTACTCTTTAGCCATCATTCCCTATTCCCCCAGCCCTAAGCAACCACTGACATGCTTTCTGTCTCTATAGATTTGCCTGTTTTGGATATTTATATAAATGGAATCATGCAGTATAGGTTCATCAGTTTTTAGCTTTTTGATACCTTTGAGTGCTGTCACACCCCCCCCCCCCTTTCCTCCCTTGTGTGCATACATAAACACATTTCAGTCTGGCAGGTTAGCTCAGTTGGTTAGAGCACAGTGTTACATCACCAAGGTTAAGGGTTCAGATCCCTATAACTGCCAGCCAGAAAAAAAAAAAAAAAAAAAAAAAAAAAAAAAAACACAAAAAAAATTTTTTTTTTTTTT